CCTCTATTTTTAGGAATTCAGTTTAGAGGAAATGAATTTAGCCAAATAACATCACCTGGCTAGAATGGAATTATCCGATGAAGTCTCTTTGTCTTTTAACCATCGAAAAGCTGACGGAAACCATCTGACAAAATGCAGAAATGCTGAGTTCCGGCATTTCTGCCAATTCCGCGATCCTACAACGAATCAGCTAGATTGAACAACAGAACAATCTAGCTGATTCGTTGTGGTATCAGAAGTATTAAACAACAAACAATACCATTAAAGACCAAATAACAATAAATGAAGAAATAATCGCAAAGGACCATCACGGCAATCAACTGAAAACCGGCAGAGTAGATGGTTGCCTTAGGACGCGTTTACTCCACTTTTCTAATTTTTCCTTTTTTCTTCTTTTTCTTCAGTGAAGCAGCTCGCTTTGAAAATTTATAATTCTCTGAGGGTGGGTCATTGAAGAAATGGAGAGTGCTGCTGTAGAGAAGAAGGTTTGAACTTTACGAAAAGTGCTGGAATATCTATAAAAGTTGCCAAATTCAGGGATAAATTCAGCGTAGGGATTAGTTAGGAATTTTCAAAATTGGATGCAAACTGTCCTGGTTTGAACAGAGATAATTCTCCAAAACTCAATTGTTCGCAAATTCAGAACCAGTATCGAGTAATAGAAGATGTCCCCTTCCCAGAAATCGCTTACACTTTTTCTGAAGTTTTCAAAATTCAGGAAAACCCGTTCTCTGTGTATCGTTTCAAGTGGGCGAATTCGAATATCGAAGAACGCATGTGGATCGGATTTTGTGGTAAAACAGGGCAGGATATGGTTTGTTTAGCGCCGATCACGCTGACCTTGGATGCGCCGCGCATTGGGGTCCGCGCTGAGGTGATGGGATGGTGCAACTTGTGCGTGATGTGACGTATCATTGTCAGTCTATCTATGTCATTTTACACACGTATAATATAGCTTGGAAGCAAAGTTCTGTCACCCTTGTAATTTTCTTTCTTTTTCATATTTTCCAACTCAATGTGAAATAAAAATTAATCGACAATATAATCGCCATTGTTAGCCACTACAGTGCTCTACCTAATGGGCAAGTCAGCTATCCCCTTCTCCCAGAACTAGGGAGGCTGCGAGTTGAAGAAGTAGGCAACTTCTCGACTAATGTCATCCAATTCGCTGAAGGTTTTCTTACCTAAGAAAGCCGTAAGGGAGCGGAACAGGTAACAGTCGGAGGGGCTAAGTCTGAAGAATATGGTGGATGCGGTACGGTCTCCCAGCCTAGCTCCTCAATTTTGTGGTAGGCCTCTTTAGCCACATGTGCTCTGACATAATCATGGAGGACTGCACAGAAGCGGTCTCGACAGCTTTCCTTGAACAGCTTGCGTGAGTTTCTGAAGTTGAGCAGTGTAGACGGTAGCGGTAACCGTGTGCCCTTGCGGGAGCAACTCGTAACGCAGCATGCCCTTCGAATCCCGAAAGCAGCAGAGGAGGACCTTCTTGGGGTTCAGGTCCGATTTGGCTTGCGTGGGCGGGTCTTCTCCTCGAGGTAGCCCACGGCACGACGTAAGGTAAAATCATAGAGTACCTAACTCTCATCTCCAGCCACGATATCCTCCAGAACCTCCTTTGTATTATGATATAGAAGGAGCGATCGAGTGCTCACTCTGGTATACCGTGTGCCATCTGTTAAACTATGGGGTATCCATCGCGTGTGGATTTTTCTGTAGCCGAGGGCCTGAAGGTGGCTAAGAGCTGTTGAGTGGCCATATCCGAGTCTTGTTGCAATACTGCGGGTGGTAGCCTCCTCTTGAACAGTTTCGAAAATGGCGGAGTCTTCCTCGCCGTGACAGCGTCCCGACCGAGGTTTTCCTTCGAAGAGCTTCGTGGTTCCTTTCGCGAAGCGAGCGAACCAACGGCGGACAGTCCTCCCCAATGCACTATTGATGTTACGTACAGCTGCCGTCGCTCCAGTGCCGCGGCGCCACTCACAAAAGATGATCATTCTAAGCTGCTCTTGCGAAACTGACCGGTAAATAAACCCACGGAAGAGCTGGAGCCTTAATATACCTCTTGTGGAAAAGCTTCGAGAATGTTCTACAACCATAGCATGTTACGCATGTTCGAGCATCAAGGATCGAAACTTGTAAGCTATCCAAAAACACTGACAGGACTTTCCCCTCCAACCTATATTTAGTAGTTACGGATGTTGCCGCATCCGCAATGGGCAGGCCAACCGCAACGCCGCTAAAGCTGTGTTCCAACAATAGCTAAGTTGGATAAGCGACATCAACTGCTGGGAAACAGTCTGGGTTCTTCTATGAAGCAAATTTCCTATACCAGGAACACGCCACACTGACACCTTGCGTTTACTGATTGCACCCAGAACAACCCCCACCCTCTCATTCTCAGCGGCTAAATACGACTCCGCTTGTGGAGGGAGACGGTAAAGAGGATTGTAATTCGCCGCACCGTCACGCGCGCGACGGACGCTCCGTTTCCATAACTCGTTTAACACTGTCAAATGGAGCAGACCGACTTCATGTAGGACCCCGCCATCGTAAGACACTCATTACTGTTTTCGGTCCGCTTAATTGCATGCTGTCGCCATCTACCCTGAAACCATCGTCTTTGCGGGCGAGACGTCGCACGCTGACGGCGGCAAATTACGATCTCTTGTCAACAACCCCTGTTGGGGAATCTCCAACAACGATGTGCCCTGCACACAGGGCACAGCATTGGTTGGGGATTCCCTATGGGGGGGGGTCGTATTTGGCCGCCAAAAGGGAGGGGTCGTATTTGGGCTGGGGAAAATTATTTTTATAGTTGGTTTTTCTTCGCTTTGCGGACGTTTTGGCAGGGGGGAGGGGTCGTCACTTTGCTGCTAGGAGTTACGGTCGGTTCACTTCATGGGTTTTATGAATTTTTCTGTGTTATAGTACTATGTATGTACGCCCGTAGCGATGTACGTCGCGATGCCTTACATACCCCCCCCCCCGCTTGAGCAACTTTTCGGCCGAGTATAAACACAACCACAGTCAGCACATCGACGAGAGCATGGGGGGAGGTCGCACCAGCCCCTGAAAAAAAGGGGGGGGGGGTCGTAAAGCTCGAGCCAAAATCCCCCCATCGAAGCTGTGCCCTGCCCGCACAGGAACTGGCCATTCGTCGCGCGTAGCACGTTTAAATGTGGTCGCTCATCGAATCCCGCGCAAATGTCGCGAGCGTCACGCACAACGATTTGCCAAATTTAAACGCAGTTTCTGGTCTGATTTTACGTACTAAAATGTTGGTATGTCATTCTAAAGTTTTTTCAAAAAGGGTGGGAGGCTTTTAAGGGGGGGGGTAAACCATTTGCCTTTAAATGGGGAAGTCTCTGTCATTTACTTTATTAAGCGGTTTTCCTTGACGGTTTGATGACTTCTCCAGTGAATTTCTGGACATGCCATGTGCACATTTTATATCGCCTGAAGACTATATCATTAGAGTTCCGTGAACAAAAAACCTTTAGGTTTCCTCTAGGACTTTTCAGCTTACCTGAAATCATTCTCTCATTTCGCGTTCTTCGCTCTCTTTCGATTCCGTAGTGGATTTGTCGTCATCAATGAAGAAGTCATCACGCGTTAAATATCGTTTCACACAACTCCGATTCGTCATGCACCCCTCGAACGCCTGCTAAAAATACCAGTACTGATAAACCATGTTCAATTGTAGGTAGGTGTACCGATGTTTTAGAGGATTTATCGAGTTTTTCCTGCTTTATGGTAAAAGCTCTAGACTATTACGGTTTTTTAGCCGTGTCAGAGGGGACGTGGATGTTCAAAAGGTACCGTTGGTCTGGCTATTTGGACCTACGTCAAACCGATATTGAACTGAATGAGTTCATTGATTCGTCGACTTTTTCGGCGATTGAAAACGAAGCTGCTCATCGCCGATCCCGTTGAGGTAGCGTTCTTGTTTATATTTTTTGTAATATTTTTTCTTGTGGTCTTCCTAATATTTTTTCATAAAAATCCTTCTTTGTCCGGAAAGCTACCATCGAAGAACGGAAGGGGGGGGGGGAGCAAGTCAAGTTCACTGAGGAGGAAAAACCGGGAAAATCAGCTGTCGAAAACATTTTGCGCAAAAGCAAGTACGAGAACACTTCTCGGTGGGGATGCCCAGCGTACGAGGTGGCCTTAGTTGCGAGCCAGCCCCGCCAACGAGTTCTCCCAACCAGCACCCAATCAAAGTCGCACTCAAAGTCAAAACCGATAGCTCCCCTAGCTAGAGTCACCTCCTCGGATGGAACTGTGAAGAACTCGTCATTTCTGATTTTTCCCATCGCAGCGCTCTCAAAGCGCATTGGCTCCTGGTGCAGAGCTGGCGGCTTAGCCACAAATTGTAACTACACTCGGCTGCACACAATCATCTGATACCAGCTGCAAGGTGGCTAACGTCTGCCACCATTTCGTGAGGAAAGAAAACAAATGGAGCTTGTGGTTACCCCTTTCAGTTTCTTTCACCTGTGATGCTATCAGGTCTCCAATCGCATTGGCGTCAGCCTTGTTTGACTTTTTGCGGCGTACAGAGAAGAACTTCATAAGCACTGGCAATTTAGGTTTTTTAGATTGTTATTTTTAATGTATGCCCGTGGTTTCCAGTATTTTTTGAACAAGACTTCCATCATGTTTTGACTCACGTACTTATTGAGAGATGTAATGATTGGTTCATAGTTTCAACCGATAATAATCGTATATAACTCTGAAAACTACAGTCTTGTTCGCTGCGGATGATAGGGCGTGTTAGGGGCTGGGTGTGGCGCAGTGCCAGCCCGTTTTCCACCAACTGTTGCTGCTTACCCGGCTCAACAAAGAAGAGAAGAGGCTGTCGTCGCACTAAAAGCAGTTCTCTGACACGCCCCATCATATATGTCGAACATGACTACTAGCTTCTCGATATTCTGTATCTCAGAGGGCATTTCCAGGTGATTGTTGCCGAAAGTTTCAACGAAAAGTCGTCCAATGCAGTCATGATTGAAATGATACGTTCCTCATTGCCAAATGCCACAGTGACTAGTGTTCACAGAAGGTCAGCATTCAGAGGTGCATTCGCCGACAGGAGGGGGAGGGGGCATTTTGCACTTGCCACTTCCCATCATCGGGTTCATTGTTTAACAAGAGTTCAATAAAATTATGCAGAAATTCTACTGTTATCACTCAGCGGCTTCGCAAGATGTCACAAATCTCTACTTGATAGCTTGATAGACTATGTGGAAGCAGCAAAAACGCCATTTTCTCCCCCCTCTCCCCCCCCCCGCTCCCGTCTCCGAATTACGCCTATTGAGGGTCCCCTTTCTAGGTTCTTCAATCATCAACGTGGTGCAGAATTAGTGGCACAGTTAGCAAATGCTGAAATATCGAATTGCGACAGCGTTGTACTCCAGAAGTAACTTCTTCACTGAGTTCCTCCATTTTTTTCAGGGCTGTGTTATTTTTTATTTTGAAGGCATCTATGCAGTCTAACTGCAACCTGATGTTCAGGCAATTTTGTATGCAGAGCTGCTCGGCTCTCATCAAGTATGTGGAACACATTCAAAACATTGTATTTGCTTCAAAAACACTATATTTCGTTTATCGTGACATCGAAAAGATGTGTCTCTTGGGTGGGTTTTCCAGAAGCTCTTTGGATCGTGTTCCTGTGTTCTTACTGAAATTTCCATCTGAACCAAGTATAATTTCAGACGTTGGTTCGTGGAAGAATCTTGAAATAGATAATAATCACCCTAAAAAGGTTTTAATCAGAAGTTTTTTTTGACGCGCTTCAGCTTGGTGGGGGCAATAAACGGACTCTGCAAAGCTAGTACAGGCCACCGCGTTAAGGTCCGGAAATCCCTGTAGCTAAAGTAAACTTTTCTCAGCTCCATAAAAATTCACAGGTCTGCTAGTCAACATGAACTTATAAGAGGAACAAGTAGAAATGAAGAATGCTTCCCGCTTGTCCCCTGAGCCGAAGCGCCTTTTTTTCAACATTTTCTTCATAGTACTGTACTGTGTTTTATGCAGGAGCGAAAGTCGTTGCTTGCCATCATTGATGAAACGCAAACCTCAGCAGGTGCACGACTTCTTCGCTCCAACGTTCTTCAACCTTCCGGTGATCAGATGGTCATTGAAGAGAGATTGGATGCTGTGGAAGAGTTGGTTGATAATCCTCATGTGAGTATCTGCATAACACAGCTTTTCCCTTTTTTTTCTCTGGAGGTTATCACATCATTCAAAATGGCATTGGCGAAAATGCGGCAAAATCAAAACCGATAGTATGGTGGTGTTGGTCAGCCGAATAGTGCTCTTGTTCGATACCCATTTATTCGCCGATTTGTCACCAAGATCCACTGGTCTTTTGTTTGTCCGCCATTTTTGGTGGATTTCTGCAATGAACAGAAGTCTCTAAATGAAGAATATTTCTATTATTTTTGTCGTGGTGCATTATTCTGCCATTCCATGGTTTGGTCTTCTAATTTTGGCTTATTTTGTTTTTTTGCGTTTCCTGAGTTAGTGGGTCGGTCGCAACGCAATTATAGTTGCCTGGCCTCATTTCTTCCTCTAACAAGGGAGGTCGTTCAGGCGAGGTGAGCTTTTTCGAAATGGTCTGTGCGCATAATTGTAAGGGGCACACTACGAGGACCAGAAAACTGAGGTTCATTTTCGGCTGCGGCCTTCTAACGATAAAAAACAACGTAAAAATAGGTTCGGATGGTTCGGATTCCACCGAGGGACAAAATTTGGCTTTCTAGGACAATTTTTCTATTTTTTGATCCATGTTTGTCTAAGTGATTGGTCCTAACAAAAACAAGCAACGATAAGCTGAACAGATCCTACTTTTATGGAGGGCCAAACTGCTTTTTCGTTCGAATTCGTTCGTATGCACAGACCAGCTTTTTGGGGCTATGCCGGTGCCAGACTGGCACTGGACCACCGAAAACATTTAAGTCTAAATCGTGAATCAGGACTCGTCGATTACCCTAGGCAGCAAGGTTTTGAGCGAAATTTTTTTTAGCTTATTTCGGGTGTGTAAGTGGCCGACCATTTGTCGGCAGCTATGAGCGGAGTCTCCCACATCTTCGTAACAGCAATGACGTATCTTTGGCGCTATCGGACATCCGGACACACCCATAAGCCCATATAATATACGGTCAAACATTGAAATTTGACTGAAAATTCGTTTTAGAGGTAATCAGCTGGCCCTGATCACAAATATAGACACTATTTTTCGTGTCCGCCTGACATTGGCGACAGAATAGCGGCTAACGTTGCCATATATTGGTGGTATTGAACATAACGAAATTCAGTGGAAAGAAGAATGTGTGGCCGCAAATTGTCTATAATTGACACCTGGCACCAGAAGTATTTTTAAATCGAACCAGGTCCACTGTATAGCCTAATGAGGACCAACGTCCAGCAACAGTTTGTCAATGGGCGTGAAAGTCGGAATAGTTGAGATAGCACTGACTCATCGAGGTACAGCTGAAACTCAGAATGTTTCAAAATGGCAAATACTCCGAGTTTATATTCATGCGGCAGGCGCACAAGTTGGGAAGCGAGAAGAGCGAAATCTAAAAAATTGCAACAGACGGCACAGACGCAAGAGAGCCGAACCATCAAACACCCACCCTCACTGCCCCGATTGCGAAACCGTCACTCTTATCCCGACGTACGCCATCTCGAATGCTCGACGCTAGCGCTCTATCGTTGATGAAACGCCAAGAAGCCGTTCACGATCCTTGAGCACCTAGACCCAACGTTGGAAGCTTTTTTTCGGGGTTCGATTCAAATAGCCCCTTATACAGGCCCCCTCACTCAGCCGCAAACTTTTGGGGTTTTCGAGTTGCAAGTGACCTGCGTCCGTAAGAGGCCCAGAACGAGCAGATTTCAAAAGATTTCTTTGTCACTCGTTTTTTACCGTTCCTGAAGCGCGCAGCGAAAATGAAGCACAGTTTTCAGGTCCTTGCGTGACGCCGCAGCTACAAGTTATGCACAAGAAATTTGAAAAGCGCACCACGCCTGAAGACTCCTGTAAGTGACCTCGCCTCTCTTCCTTTATTATGCTATCTTTATCGGATAGTGGGCCTGGAAGCTGGCTTGTTAGGGGCTAGGGGGATACGCTGACATCCGAAAAGCCTAGCTCTCAGGTATACCTAGGCGTGCCCTAGTGCCCTGTTATCCCTAGAGCAACCATCCACTTGCAGGGTACACGCCTGGGGATGTGGCGAAATGTCGGTGTAGCAACGACGCCTCGCCCCCCCCCCTCCGCCTCACGGCTCTTCGCCGACGACGCGCGATATGTCGGCGAAAAACAGTTATCGAGGGGGGGGGCTGCTGTACCCTCTCCACTTGTCTTCTTATTTTTCTCTTATCAAACTCTGCCTGTCGTAAGCAATAACAAACAAACTACGCAGCCAACAATAGCTAATGAAGGTGAGAGTGAAGCGAGAATGGCGAGCAGTCCACTCACTCACTACCCACTCCTTCCCTACTCTCTATTTGTTTTGTATTCATCTACGGTCAACTTTCATTTCTATGGTTAAGGATATCGAAGGGGGGAAGGGTGCGGTGGAGTTCACGCGATACCAGATCAACGCACTCTGATCGTCTGCGCTGCTCGAGACGCGAGTCTGTTTAGGGGACTGGAACAAAGTGGCAATGGTAATGGTTTGAAGACGCAGCTGCTATTGTTATCCGCGTCAGCTGAGAACATCTGCATTTGGTTTATCACTAAATTTTCTAGTCCTTATACGAATGATGCGTTGTTTCCAATGGAAGCAGATATCTGTTTTTTTTCTGATTTGGCGGCTGAATGCTGGTAATTGACAGTTCGAAGCGAACGACTATCAATGGCAACAAAAGTTCGCGTTGGTGGGAAGTGACGTTGTCGCCAGTCGCCTGCAGTGAGGCAGCTGGGTGCACTGGTGACTCTGAAAGGAAAGAGACGGCTGTAAGGTCTTTTCGCTACGTCGTCATCCCAGCTTTCAAAAACAACTGAATGCGCTGATGTTACGTGTTTAGCCTCATTTCACGCTTTATGGGTAAAAAGTTCGACAAGAATCTCGTTAAATTCTGTGGCGAGAGTGAGAGAACGGCGGTGCACGCCTTGGCGGAGCGGCGGGGCGCTTTGTAGGACCGTTTGTACAAAATGGGAAGAATTTACTGTGGCGGCGATTATCTCCTTTTCCTTCCCAAAATTTTTGTTAGCACTCCCTCTCCAGGGAAGGGGAATAGAGAGGCTCTGCCGGTTATTAGAAAAGAACAAAAAACCCTCAAAATATTGTTTGTAGGCACCAGTTTGCACAAGCAGTGGCAGGTCAGCTAAATATTCACGCCCAAGGTGGAAGAGCGGCCAAATATTTTAATATGTTGCAAATCGCAAAAAGTGCATTTAATGAGACTCATCTCTGGTTATCTCGCTAAACACAAAGTTCGTTTTCAAAACCCAGTTAAGTTGTAACTAATACACGTATGCACTAAACATTATATTCCGAATTTATGCTTTTCAGGCTGGTGGAAAAATTTCGGCCAAGTTTTGGGTTCCACGTGCAATATTGGGTAATTTATTCAATGTGTTCATGAGAATCCCCCCAGCGGCGAGCCTACTCGTTCAAAGTGGCCGACTTCAACTTACCCAGTATGACAACCTTTTTTCTTCGGTATTTCTGAATTCAGGAGCAGTCGTGCATACAGTAGTCCCTGGAAAAGTTGGGCATTTTCGTTACTCGCGCCTGAAAGCAAGTGCTGCATCATACGACCGCTCGCAAACTGACTGAAGAATTTTAAGCTGCGACTGTGCTGAAAAAGAAAAGGAGGTGAGAGATTGTTGAGTGTTCATGTCTCTTTAATCCAAGTTTCCCTCTTCACATGCTTTCCGTTTACGTTATCCCTTTCTGTGGCAGGTCGTCTCCGCTATTTTGTCGCAACAAATTCACGTCGGAGGTGCGCCGCTATCATCAAGCCGCAAGTAGCTGTCTAGGCCAGCTGTCTCTTTGAACGCGTCCTTTTAGAATGACGCTAATCGCTTTTCTCGCTTCGAAAGCCTCTCGTTTTTCTGTTACCGAGCTGATTTCTTATTTGCCAGGCATTCTAGCTGAATGAGGCGAATGACAGCGATCAAAAGAAAATTCTCTAAGCGATGCGTTCCAAGATGAAAGCCATGTGTAGCAAGCAAGAAAGTTCTCTCAACCTTCGACACAAAAATGTTATGCGATAAGGTCATCAAGGTTTTGATCCCGAATTTTCAACCCAGATCCTTTTGTAATTTGATATCTGCTGTGATAGGAAAGGCATCTCGGTAACCCTGGATGTGGCAGAAGGGCTTATGAAGAACTCGCTCAGGGATTGTTCAATCTCAGGTAACTATGCCCTGCAATTTTTTTTGTTGTCGCGATTCTGGTTTCAGTTTTCTAACTAGTGCAATGCATGGATTTCTGAGAACAAAGATTTTTTGATCTTTTCAGAAACCCAGAGCTCGTCGAGGCATTGACCAGAACAGAACAGTTCGATTGGCTTACTCCGCTTCTCGAGGTTTTCATTATGTGTGGGTGTGCGGGAATCAGCTACAGCTACTCTAGCTCCTGTGCGGGTTTCTGATTCTAATAATCATTTCCATTATCGCAAAAAAGAGAACTTCCTTATCACTATAATCAGATATTTCATCAACATCACGCGCTTAATAGGTCGTCTATAACATTTCTTCGCAGAAACATTGCTTCGTTAGAAGCAATGGTAAGTGGAGCATCTATCTGTGGTATATCGACTTTCTTAATGCGTGCCTTTTTCAGATAGAATAGAACAATCCGTATCAGAAGTTATGATCGCTATGATATCGTCGTTCAGAGCGCCATTATCAGAAGTTAGTATTCCTAAGAGGCTTTTGCATCGACCTTACTGCACGAGTCACCTTGTAGCATACTGTCCCTGACGGAATGAATGTCTGCTAGCTAGCGACATTCAATTCCGTCAGGGACAGATGGTACGTCTTCTCGCAGTGGATGAGGGGCGTGCCAGTGAAGGCAGGGAGAGCTCGCCGCTAGCCCGTACCCGTTCAGGTTTTGAAGCGCAAAAAAGGTGGAAACACGACTGACATGTAACTTTGTGATAACAAGTCTTGTCGCGGTCTCCGAAAAAAAAAGAAATGGGGCTGGTGTTGCAATCATTCCCCTGGCAAGCATCCCGGTCGTCTGTAAGCGAAGAAGACTGTAGGAGTAGAAATTATACAAGTTTTAGCCCATGTTTAGATACGCTCCTCTGATTCGCTGTGCTTTAACCATTATTATGGACTCTATTGGACGCTAGACATGCTGTCAGTTTTTGGCGGTCTATGCCGACTAATGAGATACCAGTGCGTTGATTGGAATTCTGTTTCTTTTGGCGTTGTTCTGTAGTTCCATCGGGATTGTATGATTAGGTTGGCGGAAAGTTCCTCAATTTGTTCAAATTAGACTTTCTTTTTACAGGAGAGGGGTACAAATCAAAATTATATGCAATGTTATTCGACGAGATCCTTGACAGGCTTTTGGGACAGTTCCATGGATGCCAGTTGTTTAACAATGCACGCCGGCGCGAACGCAAAGTCTGACATCATCTTAACTGACTTGGGCTCAGTCCGTGGAGGTCCTCGGCTGTATAACGGTTGAATAAAGGAGCAAGTCGCAGCCAGAAGAGCAACGTCTGGACTACACGGTGGCAGGGATAGAGCCCATCCAGCTCTGTTGGCATGAAGTACGGCTCGAAACTTTTTTTTTGGGGTGTGCTGCACCAGCACGTTGAGACGGAGGTGCCGATAGATTTTGCCCTCATGCTTGACGACTTCGCTTAGATCTCGTAGCTGCTTTGCGTAGACTTGACCGAGGAAGCAGCTTCTTCATCCAACGTTTCCGACGCACCGCTATCCTGGAGCTATGTTTTACAGGCTCTCCGAATCCTCACTTCGCCATTTCAAACCGTTAGGTTCCGCCTCTGAAGGAGCAAAGATTGTCTGATGCCTGGTGGACCATTGTCCTCTTTCGTTACTTCGGCGTCGACAGCTGCCAGTGCTGGCGCCCAGGGTGGTAGAAGAGAGTAGTTCAAGCTAAGCGCTTGAAGGGGTCGTGGCTGAAGGTAGCTGATACCATTCTTGTAATATTGCCCACTTTGCCAGCGGTTGATCGTTGAGATTTATTCGAACCTCAAACTTGGGTAATTAACCTAAAGAGGCATAACCATTAACGAATATAGACTACGATTCTAGAACAATGAGGAAATCTCAAGAGCATATTTCTATGAAACTACTACGCAAAGAGCAAAAATAAATGTAGAGACAAGGAAAAAATGCACCTGATCCTACAATGCACCCAAGCGAATCGAGCGTCGGCGCTTCCTCTTTTATGCGGACTAAGTATGTTTTCCTACGAAAGAATGTATACATTATGCTTGTTTTCTGAGAAAATCTACCATTTCAATCAAGATAAGGAGGAAAGGAATTCAAGCAACTGTAAAGCATGAGAAGAAAACAGTTACAATCCTGAAAGCGAAGAATATACATGAAACTAAGAACTGAAGCATGACTCATTCTAAGGTATATATGATCACAGTTGTGATACTGCCGGCGCAGCTCCATGAAGATGGTCCTCCATATTGATCTTCCAGTTCTGCCAGCTGCGCCGAAAGGTCTGGTATTCGCTCTCGTTCTTTCGATTCTCTCGCGGTAGTGAGGCACATGCCTAGTGGTGAGAAATCTAAGACCGCAATATCTGCACCTCATCCTTCGTCGCCAACATCTATCAGTAGAGTGTAGAGTGTCGAGGCAATTTCGGCACCAGACTCGTCTTTCACGCTCATCAACATCTCTATAAAGAGGGCAACAGTCACTGTAGTGCTGTCCTTTCTCGTTTCAGAAACCGCAACGAATGTAGGTCTCTTCCGCCCTCAGAATGTTGACAAAAGCGATGATTCTTCGCGGTACTTGTCGCTTCGAGTGGAGTTTTTGTTTCAGTTCTTCCATTCGCGACAGTAATTTGCGCCTCTTTTGCTTCACAGTCACATGCACCTCATCCTTTTCTCTTCGTGCCTCCTTTCGTTCTTCTTCTGGGACTCCGTCCTCGATATCTTGATAAACGTCCTCATATTCGAATTCGAGTACATCCTCAGCAACTTCGCCGTCGGATGGCGGCTTGACAGGCGCTTCCTCTACAGCAGTGCGCGATGGAGGTGTACTGGTGTCTTTCTTCTCATTGTCTGTCGAGGGACGTTCACCTCCGTCGTTATCTTCCACTTTCGGAAGGGAGTCTTTGATTCCCTGGATATCTTCTCCAAATGCATCCATCTTACTGGTTAGTTCGGTGACCCTTCTTCCTTGTTTTGAAATCTCTTCCTGGAGATCTCCCATTTTCGCTTCAATGCTCCTTTGCAGTCCAGCGACTGCTTCATTCAAGTCCGTGAACACACTCCTATGGTCTTCGTTCCCAATCTGAGTTTCTGCATTCATCATTTCATTTTCCATGCACCGGAGCATCTCGTCCAAGAAGTCAATCTCCTTGCGGACGTAATCACTCACAAACACCGGCTCCATAGGCAATCCTTCGATATCCTCCTCGTAGAACGTGCTCCTTGAGCTTTCGGTCGCCGCCTCTGCGATGATCAAGAACTTATATGTCTCATGCGACATCGCGAGTGCTTCCGCTGCACTGCGCAGACGTTCTTTCGTGTGGCAGGTTCTTAGCCAAACATTTTCCACCAATCCTTTGTAGAGGGTGGCTTCCCCCCTCGCGTAGTGACCTGGACGGTCTCCCTGCAACTTTGTGAACTCGTCCTGCAAGTTGTTGGTCTTGGTAGCGCGAAGGATTTCTCTGACGAAGTGACGAATCTTCCGTCGAACATCGTGTTCTGTTGGCAATGTGGGGGCGAGCCTCACACAAGACCGTTTGAGTTTCAGTTCGTCGATCAATCGTCGTTCTTCATATCTTCGTCGTCGTTTGAGAGATTCGTACGTTTCATCATGCTCCATGATCCTAAACAATGCACCTTTCCGTAAATAGTTCGGTTTAAAGCATTTTTTCATAGCTCTTGCTGTTATGCTTCTCACGGCACACACAGACGATTGTGAAGAAGATGCGAAAAATCATGCATGCTGTTATTTTTATGATATAATAGAGGGCACCAGCCGTTCCTCTAACGCACATACCGAGGAAACGTGTACATGCTGTTGTTAAATAGAGGTAACTGAGAATTAGTGCACCTGCAATTATCGCAAGCATGATCAGGACGCTCTTGTACCATTCTAGATAGGCCTCCATGATGTGACTTAGATCCGGCCATTGGAGTAAGCTGGCGCTGTGTCGTTGTGTTGCTTGAAGCGTGCTCCTTAGCCCTCTATGGAGGCTGTGCACATATTTCAAGACTCCTGTTATTTTGAGCGACGTCGGTTGAAGACCACACTTCACTGAGCAGCGCATTTGTACCTGCGCCCTTGATCTCATGAACCTCAATTTGCTCACTTCTCCTGAAGGTGAACAGTGCACAGTGAAAGTATCGGAGTCGCACTCTATTTCTGCAGTGACGGGCTCTGCTGAAGACATGCACACTATCTCCGCGACTGCTCCTCTTTTGCACCCGTAGCATCCGAATATCTGCGTGTCCGTTACTGTGCATCTTTCGTTGATGACGTCCACAACGCTATCCGTTACGATTTCCTTAGTGTTCAGAATTAGTTCTGCTGAGACACCGTTTTCAACATCTGCCAGTACACTGTGTGTAGGATGGCGAGTTAGTCTCAGTGACGGAAGCGTGATCGGGAGGATTTTCTCAATACTTCGGAATTCCTTCGAAAGATCATAGTCCTCACATCGGCAAACAACTTGAGACTGAGCCGGTGAACAAAGACATGTGTTATGCATTGTACAGCGAAGGTTCTCTGCATGTGCTTTCGAGGAGCACTCCACCGTAGGTCTTCTTCCAGCACTCCACAATGCCGTCATGTTTCCGGTCGTGATGAAATCGTTTTCCAATCCAGGTAGAGGTGGAAGTGCCAATACACTCAGAGTCAGACTTATACCTGGTAGTTCGATTGGGATATTGGGTTGCAGAGCAACGATATAGGATGTCATCTCCTTTGTTGTTGGTCTTCTGAGTTGTACTCGCATTTTTACTTGTTCTTTCCAGCGAGCGCAGGAAAACAATTCGTAGATATCGTTGCTAGTAGGCACTGCATATATCCTGTAGAACAGACATCCTGAGCTTAGCGATAGGCAATCGCATCCTATTCCTCCACAGGATTCTAGACAGCCTGTGACTCCGGGGTAACTGTTTCCCAGGGAGAGTTCGGGTAAAAGACTGGTAGCGTTGACATCTGCGCATTTGTTTCCTTTGCAGGAGCCCATGTGGGCACATCGCTTACTATCTATGACCCTTTGCTCCACATTTCTTGTGTAGCCATTAGATGACTTGTCACAGAGTAAATGAAGCTTCTCCCATTGCAAGCGTATCTCCAGAACAGTTGTCTCGTTATTCTGCAGACGGAAACATGCATCTCTTTTGAATGTGTTCATCTTCACGACGGATGCCACATCCACGACGCAGGTAGTCCTCCCGGAAGAGGTTGTGCAACTCTTCATGTGATGAGAGAAGATATTCACGATTTGGCAGGCATGGCTTGAAGAGCAGAGGTAGAGGATGGCTAGAGCTTCCAGAATTGACCGAGCATTTCTATATCTTCGACGATTAAAGAGTCGTAAGATTGAGCCTGCAATTGCACCAGCGATGTAGAGTGCAAGGTACCCGATTCCGAATAATGCTCTCAGAAGAAGTTGAACTGGACGTCCTACGGTAACAGGCACGTAAAATATTGTATAGCACAATGCTATGACTAGGTACAGGAATATACCGAGTCCAATTATGGCAGCTAAAGGCCAGCATTCTGGATTCAGTATGTTTGTCAAGCATATCGTGCAGTCAATCGTTAGGC